TTTCACCCCCCATCATGATCGGTCTTCAGAGATAAATCCAAGATAAACAACCAATAACTCTGAGTAATATTAGCAGAAGACAGGTTATATTGGCTTTGGTGGAGGTGGAACTAAGCACACAGAGGAAGGTAAAATAAGAGCATTTTATTGCATATAAAACAGTGTTCATCTTTGCACAAATACAGCTATCATTAAAAAAAAAATGTGATCAACAAAAGACTTTCCTCAGTGGTTGGATGTTGTAGGTTCATACAAATGTGTGTGCATCGCAGAGCTGCAACTAGTGATTATTTTTAGTTAATTATTGAGATGAATAATCGGATAAAACAAGCTGGCAGATTTTTAATTTAACCAACTAAATATATTTTTATACAATACTAGAAATGCATTCAAATAAACAGTTACACATCTTTTTTTAGATGGAAAAGCTTACATGCATTGCCTAAAATACAAAAATATCCAACATCAAAATGTGAAAACTAAAGGAATTCTGAGTAAAATATTTACAAAGAAGGGTTTTTTTCAATCTTAAATGCAATGCTTTGTGCAGTTTTGTCTTAATTACTGCTCTGATTGTGTTCTTTCAGCAAATGGTTTTTTCAGACTCTACATGCTCCAGTTGAAGATTAATCAATTACTAAATTAGTTGATAGTTAATTGATTCATCAAGACAGACCATCTTATAAGCGAAAACCCCCAAAACACGCACTTCTACTCCGTCAACGACACTCTGGCTCACAGCAGCAGACGGAGAGCGCACAGAATAACAGTTGCAAAGCGTTTCTTTAAACGTGCTGAACTTCTTTTCAATGGCAGCAGCTTGCTCTCCTGCAAGCAGCAGCAGGAGTAACTTATTATGGCCGTTATTAAAAGAAAATAAGAGTGCACCGATTTCAGCTTTCTGGCTGATCACAGATATTTAAAATACCTGACGGATTTTGCCCTACAACGGATTGTTTCTGTACAAAGCACAGCAGAAAAGTTGCAAAGTTGGCAACAGCAGGCCAACTATTGGTAGTCCTCTCCCAGAAACTTGTGGTGGTAGAAAAGATTGGTTTCACGAGTGAAACGAGTGATCATCAATCAACCAAAATTAAAGAAATCACGGTGATCAATCTGCGCTCCCCTAAAAATCCTCCCCCTGCCTCCTAAGTCCATGTCCCTATGGGAAACAATGAAACATGTCAAAAAGAACAATAAAGAAAAACAACTATAATCTAAAAATATGTCAAACAACAACATCTACTTTAATGTACTGTTTATTTTTTATTTTATGAAAATGAGATCATTCTTTTCTCAAAATTACTAGGCCTCTCACAAGGTTTTATTATATTTTGAGAGATGTGTGTCCTATTAGAAACAAGATCACTGGTTAAATGACAACTTTAAATCTAAATTAAGGCCAAATATGAATATTTTGGGACCCTACGTTGTGCTTTCATACATACATTTTTTAAGTTGGGTTCAAAACTGTTACTTCTTTCAAAGAAGCTGCAGCACATTTTCTCTTAGGCATTACAGTCCAAATCAAAAGCCCTCAATATTTGCAGTCTTGACAAGACCTTTAAGAAAATTGAAAATGTGCTTTTTACGAACGCTACACGTTTCTTATGAGGGATTACATTGTTTGAACGTATGCAGCTGTAATGAAACTGAATTTGAAACTGAACTGAAATTGGCACTGCCAAAAAGCCTGCTTGGTGCATATTCAATGAGAAATTATGATTTATTTGAAGATGTCCCAGCCTATTATTGTACAGACATCTCTGATGTCACAAAGTTTTATTTTCCCATGGATCAAAAATACATTGCAAAAATATTTTCTATGTAAAAATTGGTATATTGCCTTACTTTTACCCTTTTTCACTTATAGTAGTATTGGCATTTTTTTTTTTAGAAATCATTCAAAAGTAATGAGTTGCAATCAACTCGATGGCTAATCATTTCTAGTTCACAAAGGTATTAAGAGGCAGACCTGAGTTTTCTGAAAGAAAAAAGCATCAATTTCCTCTGATGTATAAAAAAAGAAATTAGATTTTTAAAGTTAGATGTTGCCTGAGTTTTTAGTGTGGAAAATGTTGTATGTGGTTCTAAACCAGTTAGGAACGCCTTTCTCAAATTTGCCATCTCTGTATGTCCTCTAAAACATATAGAGCCAAAATACAAAACGATCACATTCCTTTGTTCCTTTTCTATCATTTGTCTATATATTCCACTTCAAGTAATAAAGCAACAACAAACAATTTCAGTAAAAGTCAATAACACTTCTTAACCAAGTGTAGAACAATGCAGACTCTCCCATCTGGCGGCTTTAAAAAAAAAAAAAAAAAAGATTTGGTTGAGTGACTGCGAGTTGGACAAGGTGAACCAGAGGGAAGCGCAATTTAGCTCAGCGCCATCTGTTTATTTACTCACCAGTAATGAGTAAATCACTAAATTGCTCAAATCACACAGAGAATAAGGGATGAAGTCTATAAGAGAGCCACTGATTGCCAAAACATGAAGCGACTGCATCTTTCAATGGTCCGACATTTTTACGGCTACATTGTCCATCCCACCAACCATTCAAACCCAAGTCCACACACACGTACCTCCCACCCCCTTTTTTTTTTTCTCGTGCGGGCCAAAGGGGGTCACCTTAGGGTGACGATGGAATTCAAATCAACCACTTCGTCGCCTTCAAGCATAAAACACATATGCCAGCCTTTTTATTGACTGCGCCGCCTTCTCTGCAAAAATTGATAAAGTCGATTTCCAAGAAGGAAGCAATACTGCTTTTTATTTACTATGAACGCAATTCTCGTTGAAGAGCTATCGAATTAGCCCGCTGCTGTTTGTTTATCAAGTTGAATTAATTAACTTCTGGCGCTCACGATGAAGAGATTTTATTTTAAGAGTAAAAAAAAAAAAAAAAGAAAAAGAAAAAGCAGACACTGTTGAGTACTAATCAAATTCACACTCAAATTCAAAAGTAAATGGATACCTGAACTAAATTTTGTTCCCATTTGGTACAAAAGTAATTCTTTAATACAAAAAAAGACATACAGGCAAAGGTCAAAGCTGCTTGCCAGGAATGTAAAGTAACAATACTAAAAAAGAGAGAGAGAGAAAGAAAAAAAAAATAAAATCAAATTTCATGTTATATGGTTTAATATGGCTCTTAAAATGCTAAAGTGTGCACTGCAAGTCAGCTGGCTTTAGGAAGCCTCATCCACTTGCCGAGTAGATAATCCAACCAGAAAAACCAACTAATTAACCAGACAATATCATGATATCAGAACAGTATTAGTGAAGTTATTTCACAATCTTTCTCTATAATGGTCATCTTGCTGTTATTCTTAAATAGATTTTAGAGCCGCACAATGTATTAAATCAAAAATATCCGTGCATGCAGCATTTCAACCGGAAAGAACCGTTTGAACCCAACTCTCTGTTGGCGTTAGCGTTTCAGGTGGCGTTTCATTACAATTTTACTTGATAATTTTATATTTGGGACCTGGATGAACTTTCACTGCACCCAACGCCCACACCTGATAAAGGTCTTAGTGATCCAGATCATACAGCTCAGGGAGAGATCTGAGATGTGGGGGTGCTGTAATTATGGAGAAATCGGAGGAAAATGTGGTTAATTGCAATCGGCAGTTAATGAAAGATTGAGCTCAGATGTCTTCGAATTCTCATAATACATTTAATGCTTAAATGCAACATTGTGGTATTTTTAAATCAGTGTTATTGTTCAGCGAGAATCAGACAAGCCCGGCAAAGGAGATCAATTTTATTCAATTAGCACTGATGGTAAATCAGTGTGGTGTTCTGACATATGAATAAGTTTCCAAAAAGTAATTAAAATGTAATTTAACAGTCCACGGTTTAATCTGTCTACATAAATCCTTTTTTTTTTCTGTGAGTGTTTGCACACGATTAAAAGAGGACTCATGTTAAAGAAGGGGAAGATTCTCACATTGCTAAAAAAAAGAAAAGAAAGAGAAACTATCCATGTTGAAATTTCAACAGCCTCTTTTTTTTTTTTTTTTAAACAGGCCTTGACACGAAATATGTGCAAGTGTTGAAATACTCGTTTCTTTTAAGCCTAATCTTCTGCATACGAAGCATAGCCAAATGAGGCGTTTTGGTGAAAACAGCTAGAAAGCAGTCTGCAGTCATGTACCTCTGCAGCTTACAGTTTTAACTAAACGGATCTGAGCCCGCAGAGATATTAGAAAGCCGTAAATCAAACTCCAAAACACGATTCTATTTATAAGAAACAAAGCCTGTAGCCTGGGGGGGGACACGGGGTAGCTTGCAAACATTTGTGTTTACCACCTCATCAGTGGTTTACATGTTTATATGTCGGGAGCGTGGCATGCGCTGGCAGTGTGCTGCATACCAGAAATAGCAAAGAGAAGCCCAAACAGCAACGGTTGGACAAAAATGGTCACACTCAAACAAGCTTAAGACACCATTTTGAAAAATCCACCGATTTCTGGATAACAACCCCGAGATGCCATCTTGCCAATTATCACTAGATTGGCTACCGCTGGAATGGCGATCCAACCCACTCCGAAGCAGTCCACGCAGGAAACTCTGCGACTCATATAATACTAGCGTTAGCTTAGCATAAAAGCTAGACTGAAAAGACAAGCGCTAGCCCAGTCGCTGCATCCCCGCATCCATCTGCTCAAAACGCTAATTAGCAACCTAGCCGGGGGGGAATATTAGAAAATGACAATAGAAACTGGCAACAGTAGCTTCGCAGGGGAAGAAGGTGGCAACCATAAACCTTGGTCTACAACAACTGAAAGTGAAATGCCCCAATCTTTTCGCCAAGTGTTTGATCCCGCGATTTCAGCTAGCCATTTAGCCTAGCATAGCCCGCTAGTTCCTTACGGAGGACAATTGAAGGGATACGGAGGAGAGAGAAAAACAGGGGAAAAAAAACTTAAAAAGTCGACACATGAGACATTCTTCCCGTCTACAATAAGCGGTACACTTAAACTTACCAAAACCACTCGGTGGAACAGTAAAAGACTCTGTGTGTGTTTCTTTCTCTCGTGGGCCTGCTGAGCTTCGGATCGCTGCGGACTGGCTCTGCTACAGCAACGTTTTTGTCGGGCCAGTAGCGCTGGGAAGACAGGTTTCACCCGGAGAGACGGCCACCGTGTGTGGGGGATGGGGATGCACTGCCGGGAGGGAGAGAGGCGGGCGAGGGAGGGACGGAGGGATGCAGGGATGCGAGGAGAGAGGAGGGGGCACGACCCACCGATAACGCAAAAAATGGATGGTGTCGAATAGGCTATTATCTTATCAATGTATTTTATAGTTCATAAAAAATAAAAAAAAAATAAAAAAACTGAGAAAAAGATTTCGACAAAATCACAAAATACACACAAGAGTTATTAAGGTGATAAATTTGTATTGCGTAAAACACACTACTAGAAAAATTATTAGCATTAACATTATTATCGTCATTAGCCTTTTGTTATTATTACTCTTATTATTAAGGTTGCTCTAAAGTAGCTATACAATTTCGTTACCGGAATGTGTTTTATTATGTTAACATCAGAAGTGTGGTTTTCGGCCATAAATAGCAATGAGATCAGGTGGTCAAATGAAACTGCAGTTCAGGGTAGTTTTTCCATACACTTTTGCACTCAGTAAAGTAGCGCCATCAAGTGGTAAAGGATGAGCTAGTAAGAGTACATCTGACAGATTACTGAATATGCTGCATTCGAGAGCAATTTTGGGTTTTCACATTCTTTATGCTGTTGAGTAAATAAACAATAATAATAATAATAATAATAATAATAATAATAATAATAATAATAATAATAATAATAAACTCCTGACGTTATTATTTTTTATAACTCCTAAAATACATGAATAAATTCCTTATTCCTTGTGGCAAACTGCAAGCGGGACTTTTTTTATACTTCTTGATTTTATTTATCATATTAGGAGGGAACTCTTTAGGTTGGTTAAAGGGCAAACTTAAATGATATATAGACGAGTTGAGTATAAACACAGGGTTTTCCTGTCGGTCACTGTCAGTAGACCTGCTAATTTAAGAGAACAACAATTCCCAGCGGCCGTCGCGGTCTGTAATTTTACCGACTGCAACGTATTGGTCTAAACGTTTTTAGCTAGCCTTCGCTGGCTGACTCAAGTGAAACATTCATCTCTTTAAAAATAACCCTCTTTCTTGCAGAAATTTTAGCAACAAAACTTATTATAAACTATAAAATAAAATAAAAAATTAATAAAAGGCCCTATTGAATCATCGCGTGATGTTGAGTTTCCGGAAGTTAGAGCGGCATGAGAAGAGAACTGTCCGAGGTGCTGACACTGTAAGAGAAGCTTTTCCTTCTTTAGATTAATGAGCCTGCGGTATTTTTCCACAGGAATTCAGTTATGCAATATTGTACAAAGAGGTAATATGTGCGTGTACGTTATGTTGTGTTTATTTTATTCTATACAGAACGAGTCGCTGAAATCTGGAATCTCTGATATGTTATACTAGATTTAACATGTTAACATGTTTTAAATCCGCTAAACAAGTTTGAAATATGATTTGCTTACGCACACATTTAAAATGACTAAATATAGTTTCAGTCCTTTTTTAAAAATTATTTTATTTGTCATAAAATCTAGTTTAATTTTGTTTTTTTTTTTTTTTTTTTTTTTTAATTATTTCAGATTTTGGCAATATGGATGAACATCGAGGGGTCTGTACAAGTTTGACCTCCTCCCCCAACAGCAGTAGCCCTGCTGGTAGTAAACCTGGGATTACGCCAGAATGCAACGGGGCCCAAGAGCGGCGGACGCAGCTGCGGGTGGCCGAGTCCCAGGGACTGCAGCTCCTTGCTGTGCTCAGATCGTTCAGGGAGCGAGGTCTGCTGTTTGACTTCACCATCGTAGTCCAGGAGCATGAATTCCCCTGCCACAGATGTGTTCTTGCAGCATGTAGTGATTTCTTCAGGTATCTGTCTGTCTGTCGGGATTTCAAGTTATACAAAGTAATGCATGATTGTGAAAAGGAAACCAAGTATGAACAGTTAGTTGTTCACATGTGTTCTGTACCCTGAGCCAAAACTTTATGGGGCAACCTTTTGCTACAATTACTGTTGCAAGATATTCACTGCATTGGTTTCCTGGCTTTGCACATTTAGATTTTTAAACTACTTTCCAAGATAGATGACTGGTTGTGGGGAAAGTTGGTCAAGTAAAAGTCCTTCCAAGTGTTTTGGGGAACACAGTTTTCAGGGCATCATTGCAATTCATCAATGCATATTCGCAGGCGCTGATATTACGATGGTCCTGAGAATTCAATATTAAATCACTTGCAAGTAATTTAAGTTTTCCTCTGGTACCGTTGGTGCAGCTCTAAAGGCAATTTGTTCAACAGGATTTTATTTAGGACCGTCAAGGTAAACGGAGTTAAAACAAAAGCACGAGTCACCTTGCAGTTTTTTTATTTGTAAACTTTCAATAACCCTGCATCACTTTTCCTTCCACTACTTTGTGTTAGTCTTTCCCACAAAATCCCAGCAAGATAATAAAATGCGAAAAAGTTCAAGGAGCATTAATGCTTTACAAGGCACTATGTATATCCATCTAATGATCGGTTTAACATGACAGCGTGCGCTCTTGTTGTGTTCAGGGTCATGTTCGAGGTTGACATGCGAGAGCGTGGAGATGGCTCAGTAAATCTTGCTAATCAGTGCCCTGAGGCTGTGTGTTCCTTCCTGGATTTTGCCTACTCTGGGGAGATTCTCATCACTGATGGCAACGTTGACATACTGTTCCAGCTCGCCTCTTTCCTGCAGGTAACGATGCAGTTATTAGATGTTCTTACATGCTGCAGCACATCACCTTTAGAGCTCAATTGTCATTGTCTCCTCAGGTTCCTGTCCTATTCAGGGCATGCAGTGACTTCCTTGTGGGAACAATGGATCTCTGTAACTGCCTTGCCCTCATGTCCCTGGCGGAGGCATACGGCTCAGCTTCTCTCCTTCAAAATGCCAGCGAGTTTGTGGTTGGGAACTTTTCTGACCTGTCCAAAACACAGGAGTTCTTGGACATGCAGGTGATCACGGGTCTGCTTTTCTGCTAAAGCTAAAGCAGAAAAGCATTAGCCATATATTCTGCAAATTGTTGTATGTTATTTTCAAGTCAGTTTATTAGCATTCATCTTTGTACATTGTGTTATAATTTAGTCTATCTATCCATCTGCCTGTTGTAGTTATATGACAGTGACTTAACATATTTGAAACTTGTTAAAATTCTTAAATTCAAATCCAGCCTTCATGGACTGTGTAGTTATATTTTAAATAGAAAGGCTCCTCTTTCTCTTTCTATCCTAGAAATCATGTGCCACAAAATTATTCTGTATTCTGCTTGTTGCAACATGATTTTTACAGCTTCTGTTGCTGTTTTTAGGAAGATGTCCTAAAGGCCTGCCTGAGGTCAGATGCTCTGAACATTCCCAGTGAGGAGGCGGCTGTGATGTCTCTTCTTAGATGGATTCACCATGATCTTCCAGGGAGACAGAAGCTGCTTTCAGAGCTGATGTCTCTGACCCGACTGCACCACCTGCCTGCAGCTTCCCTGATGGTAAAAACTGTCTCTGTGGACGTAACTAAAGAGACAGTGGTTCATGCTTCATACAGTCTTTAAGATTTAGATGATTTTAAAAGATGCATAAAATCCTTGTTCTAAATATCTGCTTCCTTCATTAAGGATGGGAAATAGTTTCCAAAGCTTAATGAGACAAATAAACAAGCTTTTAATCTCCTTTACTTGTCATTCTAGAGAACTTTTAACAACTATCTCCACGCTTCTTGGTCATTTTACTCAGCTGGTGACTTTCCTCCAATTAAGTTTCCCATCTGATCATTATTGTATGTTGTTTATGTTACCGTCGTAGAAGTTACGTGAGTCAGAGCCGCTTCTTGGCAGCGGTGGCTCCTGTCTCACACTCCTGTCAGAGGCCCAGAGCAGACAGACTCAGTACAATGGGCTGTTCACTGATGCGAGGCCTGCAACCACTCAGAGCTACATCTACATTCATAAGACAGAGGAGAATGGACAGAACCGTCACACCTTCTGCTACTGCCTGGAAACGGACCAGTGGAGAGAGCTGCAGACAGAGCTGGGGGAAGTTTACATTCCAGATCCACCTGGGTCTTACTTGACCACCTATGCCGAGAAGGTACTCTTCAGAGCAGAGCTTGTTTTGGTCTGTGAGTGTGATCTAATTTTTGATGTTTTTTTGTTTTTTTAAATTAGGATTAGTCATCTTTAATCATAATCCTGGATGTTGCTGATTCTTCTTAAAATATTATATGAACATTTAAAGCATATATGTACATATTTTCTGGTATCCGTCGTCTTTAAGATGTTTATCACCGGGGGTTGCCGAGGGAACTGCTGCCGGGCAATCCGCCTCCACGTGGCCGAACCCTACCACAATGCAATTGATGAGGTTTGGTGTTTTTGCCCTGTGACCTTAACCTGCACGCCTGCACCGGCCATGCTGAAGCCCAGAACCATGCACACAGCCGTGACCTGCCTGGACCGGGTCTATGTCATCGGAGGACGGACCGAGGGAGCCAGAGGGGAGGCCCCGACTCTGCTAGAGGTATAACAGTGGTTCCATGATCAGCACAGCTTTTCAATGTTAAGTATTTGGATTGCAGAGGGCGAACATCATCTGTGCCTTTTGCATCTTGTGTTGAAGGTGGAGTATTATAATCCTCTGACTCAGAGCTGGTCCTCTGTCAGCCCTCTGCCGACTGCCATCTTCTACCCAGAGGCCAGTGCTTGTGGCAGTGTTATTTACACGCTTGGGTCTGAGGTGGAGGTCACAGACTCCTTTAATCCCTCACTCGACTGCTTCTTCCGCTATGAAGCCCAGCAGGACCAGTGGAGCCGCCTGGTGGCAGAGTTTGGGCAGTTTTTCCATGCTACACTGGTCAAAGCAGTGTCAATAAACAACACACTGCATCTCTGCGATCTGTCAACGTACAAGGTGATGAGTGTTTCACTCATTGTTAGTTTTATTTTTTTTTTGTATGAATTAGTCAGATAGTTTAGGTATTAGGCTGGAATTGTTCTTTTTTTTTCTTTTTTGTTTGCTATTCAGGTTTACAGTTTCTGCCCAGAAACCAGTGTGTGGAAGGGTGAAGGGTCATTTGAATGTGCAGGGTTCAATGCTGGAGCTGTAGGTATGAGGGACAGAAT